AGAGAGAGCCGTTGCTCGACGCCTCCTGACGGCAGAAGGGAGACCACCTGCTCGTGCAAAGTGAAGGCTTTTCCCTCTTGCACACTTGACACACCTTGTCTTTTTACCTTAAAGAAAAGAGCACATGGGATCCCTGCGGTTTGCAAACCTGTGGGTAAAAACTCTGTAACGAAACTCATTTACGTGTATTCAGCCTCACCACGGAACGGGCTGCCGGAAGTCGTGCGGAGGGGAGTGCGCATGCGCAGGCCACAGCCCCGCTCGCTCGTGCGCACCTGCGAGGGGGCTGGGCTGGCCGAAGGGGGTGGACAGTCCACACGAGCCCTCAGCCGGGAAGCAAACTGCGAGAGAGCTCGAAGCCAACCCCATCAAGGGCTTGGTTTCCTTAAACTTCAAATCCATCCTTTCGCTATAAAAAAAAAAAATTAATATTTTAATCATACTAGTGTTTTCTAGATGTTCATTGTTTAACGATTAATACTTTTTATCTAGGGCTTAAAAACCTCTCTGGTCTTAAAAATGTATTTAGCCGGTGCGGAAACTTAGAAACCAATGGACCCTGAGTGAAGTAGAGACTAACAGTGATGAATATCCATCGAGCACCGCACTGGAGGGGGCCCGGGTGTGCGCACTAGCCGACCGTGCAGGGCCGCAGGGAAGACATCGGGGTGGGCCGGGGCGGCCTGCAGGGGGCCATGGTGCTGGGTCCCGGGCTGCGCAGCCACATCCGGGGAGCACACCTTGCACTGGGCCGCAGAGCCCGATCCTGTGAGCGTTCTGGTGTTGGAATAGTCCTGACGCTTCTCAGGCGGGAAACACCAGAAACCGCCCCTGTATCTTGCTCCTGCCCTGTCTTCTGTATGGGAATCTTTTTCTATGTTCTTTTTCTTTGACTGTTTACATGCTTTTCCACTTGAGCACCACACGCAGTAGGTCTGTCCGCCTCGAATTTCAGATGTTGCCAGCAAGATGGAATTTTTAAAGAGAGGGTTCCATTTTAAATGCACTAGAGGAAGCTTCCTAGATTTGGGGGGATTTAAATAAATCCCTTCATAAAGTAAGGAAGGACTCACACACCCACCCCCGCTCCCGGCCCACACGGATCTGCTTTATCAATGCAGGTTCTGTTTGGTGCTCCATGAGGCCCCACACCCTCAGAGGCCACTGAGCCTTCTCACACCACCCTCCCTGTGTGTCCCCAGCGCTCACGACTAACCACAGACTGAGTTCTGGAAACTTCCTTCTCTGCACAGACCGCAAATAGCTTATTACCATAATCCTGACAAGCAAGGGGATATTAGCCATCCATGTCATACAACTGACCTGATTTCATAAATCCATCACTCCCCGAATTTAGTTCTGGATGTTTTTAAGCTTCGGTTTGACTGCCTCACGTGTCCGACTGGCTCCAGGCAAAGTGGGATTCTGAGCTAGCTCCCCCCGGGGTGGTTTAAACTCCTTGTGTAGGGACGACCCAATCAGGCTTCCCTTCTGTCCCTCCCTTTCCCTCACAGACAGTGGTCCGGAGGGCGTCATCATGTAATAAAACAAGAGAGGTTCCTCGTAGCATTTTATCCAAGGATCCTGCTGGCTCGGGACAACGGCCGGCAACCACCGTCCACGTGGACAGCCACCCAGGAGGGAGGGCTGCACATGTCCCCAGCCCGTCCCTGGCCTCCCGCAGGGGCAGCCTCCATACAGCCCCAGCATACAGAGCAGCCCCTCGGAATAAAAGAGCAGCTGGAAGAGGTTTTAAACCAGCTTCAAGGACTAAAAGAAAGTGACCTGAACTGCCTTAAAAAGAGAGGGGTTCTATCTAAGTCCGGATCCCACATGAAGCCCTCGGATTTCATTTAGGAAGGACTGGGACTCGTCTCTGTTGCGCCAGGGACCGCCCCACACCTGACGCTTCCGAATGCGGGCCTCGCGGTCGTAGGAGGAAGCAGCTGCGCATCCAACTGGAAGCCAGTGTGGGCTGTAGCCGAGCAGATTAATTCTCCGGAATCTGCAAGCAGCTAGCATGCTGTCGGTGCCGAGAATCATGACCGCGCCTTTTCACTCCCCGTCGGACCCTGCAAGGACCCTTGGCCCCCCATGCCAGCTCGAGACCCCACACCAGCGCGGAGCCTCAGCCTGGGGCAGGGAAGCACCGCAAGCACCTGGCCCCAGCCCGCAGGTGTGGGGAGCATTCCCGCAGGCCCAGTTGCCGCTGCCCACGCCTGGTGCTTCTGTCCACACCGGCTGGAGAGTGGCAGTGCCACGCACGGTATGGAAGAAATCCGTTTCCCCCTCGCTCCCTCTCTGCGTAGCGTTTAATCTTCCTAAGGCAAGCTTGTGTCCTGAGGAAGCCAATTTCTGTGCACGGTTAGCCCCATAACTCACACGTGGGCCCCCAGGGCCCAGCCTACCTGGGAAGGCGAGGCAGCAGATCCTCAGGCCGTGGCCACCACGGGGGGCACCACATGCCGTGGCCTCCAGACCCGACCACTCAGCTTCCTCTCTTCTCCATCTTCCCATTTGGTAGCAGGGCAAACCTCTTTGTTTCAGACTATCTCAGATTCATGGGTTCCCTTTATTTCTATTTATTATTTTTGATCTGTTGTTGAAATTTCTTCTCTTATTTAAATTTTAGTGAACATACAGTACAATGTTGGTTTCTGGAGTAGAATTCAGTGACTCAGCACTTACACAAAACACCCAGTGCTCATCACAACAAGAGCCCTCCTTAATCCCCATCGCTCACGTATAGCCCGTTCCCCACCCTCCCCCATCAACCCTCAGTGTGTTCTCTGTCTGTAAGAGTCTTTCACGGTTCAGTTCCCTCTCTCCTCTTTCCCCCCCTTTTCCTATGTTCATTTGTTTTTGACAAACATTGTTAAAATGTCTATGCTACCCAAAGCAATCTACACATTTAATGTAACCCCTATCAAAATACCACCACCATTTTTCACAGAACTAGAAAAATCCTAAAATGTTTACGGAACCACAACAGACCCCAAAGACCCAAAGCAACCTTGAAAAAGAAAACCAGGGGCGCCTGGGTGGCTCAGTCAGTTAAGCATCTGCCTTTGGCTCAGGTCCCAGGATCGAGTCCCTCATCGGGCTCCCTGCTCAGCGGGTAGCCTGCTTCTCCCTCTGCCTGCCCCCCCCCCTGCTTGTGCACATCCTCTCTCTCTCTCTGATAAATAAATAAACAAAATATTTTTAAAAAGAAAAGAAAAGAAAACGATGATTCCGGACTTCCAGCTCTATTACAAAGCTGTGATCATCAAGCCAGTCTGGTACTGGCACAAAAACAGACACATAGATCCATGGGACAGAACAGAGAATCATGGGCTCCCTTTAAAACAAATTGTATTTATTGTGGCCTCGTCCACACCCAAAGAGGAGCATGTCCCGAAATTGACCCCTGTCTTTTCCTTGAATGAGTTTCTCAGCAGACCCCAGCTGTCGAGCTCCCTGGGGGACCGTCCAGCCGTCAAGAGGGGGATTTCTTCTCCTTCCTATGAAGGCCCTGATTTAACACTTGGGGAAACTCATGGTGTTTTCCAGTAGGATGGAATTCCGTATCTGGAAGGACCGCCGGCTTAGTTCCCATAAGGCCACCTCGTTCACTGCGAGCCCATGACGTGCTGAGCGCCGTCCCCCCAGCCTCAAGAGATGCAAGTGCTCCCATCCTGTCTGCTCGAGGATGAGAGTGGAGAGTGAGGGCACGGGGGTGCCCCTCCGCCCTGGGGGCATGGTGCCAGATCATCTGTCCTTCCTGCTGATCCCCCTTTATTTGTGCAGATACGTTTGGTTGGGATGTGTTTCCTCCCAGGACCTCCCCTGCCCACCTCTCTCCCTCTCTGCCCGTCTCAACCTGCTGTGCTCGGAAAACATCACTGAGTGCTCAGGAGCCCACCAGATAAGCCCCAGATCCCTAGGACTTGAAAAATTACAACCACCTTAGAAATTTCCAAGTTCACTGTCCCGGTTCTGTGCCCGGGGGGAGCAATGTGCTCACTTAGGTTGTGCAGACAGAGAAGGGCCAGTCAGGGTCTCTCGCCCCTCTGCCTGGTGCGGGCTGGCTGCCAACAGTCGCGGCCAACTGCTCTGTGTGACCAGAGACAGGCTGTTCCATGGGGATAGGCCTCAGTCTCCTCTACAGCTCCCATTCCACTGTGTTCTGGTAACGAGCCGAGATGATGCTCGGAACATGGCACCTAGTTTGGCACGTGGGTCCCAGTCCACCTCAGGGGCGACCACCTGCTCCCAGTTCCCACATTTTGCATTTTCATGTTGGCAGACGGGTCTCAGCTCCCTAAACTGTAAGAAGCTTGTGGGCATGGGACCCAGCGCCATTCTCTGTCTACTAGAAATAGAAAAATAAGAACACGTGTTGAATTAATGATAAAGTTAAAGTTTCAAACCCAAATAGTATTATTTCTGTGAAGCCCGGATCACCTGCGATGAGATGCTGTCTGTGGGGAGGGGTCTCTGAGTGAAACTCTGCAGTGAACACACACAAGGGCATCTCTACCTTTTCTTAACATTTGGAACCCTCACTGGGAGCTCCACCTTTAGAAGCCAATATAAGATGGAAAAGATTTATTAGTCTCATTTCTCATTACTTGAAATAAAAAAATTCTACACGATTGAAATTAAAGCTTATATGCTTCCCATTTCTAAAACATTCTTTTAAATGCGCCCCCCCCACACACACACAAATCATCAAGTTGTCGTCTCTAATAGCAACGACTGTTTTAAGTACGTGGATGGGCATCTGACAGCGTGTCTCAGCCCTGCGTTCCTGAATGAATGCTCGCAAAAACCGCGCTCCTTGTTTTTCTAGACGAACACGGACATGGCAGGTGCCCGCCAGGCCTGCTGAGGGATGAGCGTAATCATTTTGAACTGGCCTCTCAGCCTGAACAGAGCCCGACGCAGGCGAGGGACAGCTGAGCGTGGGTCATCTTGTGTCTGAGCCCAGCCCGATCTGTGTGTGTTGTTTGTTGCAGGCGCTAAGGAGATCGATATCGCCGCGACCCTGGAGCACTTGAGGGACCAGAGACCGGGCATGGTCCAGACAAAGGTACTGTTGGCCAGTCCTCGGGGATGGTGGGGGCGACAGGGGTGTCTTTCTGCAGGTGTTTCCCAGCAAGGAGAGAGGAGAAGGGAACCAAGCGTCTCCCATGCAGGTCCCAGGCGGGAGTGGAAGGCCCCTCCCGGGAGGGCGGCCCATGGTTCCAGCAACCACCCGCATTTGAGCAAAAACAGATGCAGTTGGATCTCCAGTCTTTGGAGCCCTCTCCCCACCAGATTTGGGGAAGGGAGAGAGCATTACATTTTTACAAAAAGAGCGCCATGATAGGGGCGCCTGGGTGGCTCAGTCAGTTAAGCGTCTGACTCCTGGTTTCGGCTCAGGTCATGATCTCAGGGTCATGGTATTGAGCCACATTGGTCTCCACACTCACTTGGGAATTTTAAAAAAAAGAGGTCAGTGACAAACCCCAGCACCCTTGCGGGGGAATGGTCTAGATCCACTAACATTCTGCCAGACCCCCCCCTTCTTTCTGGCCCACAGAACCACAACTCTGTTGTGTGGTCATCAGATGTCCCCGGGTGTACTCACGTCCTCAAACACCTCAAAATAGCTTATTTGCATACTTACTGAGAAGGCCACGTTTGCAACAAGGGTAAACACAAGATGGCTGGTTGGCTTTGGGTTAACCAGAGCTAGAAATGGGCTTAACATGATGTTCCTTTAGCACTCGGAAGTATCTGTGTCCAACGACCACGAAAGCTGCCGCGCATCTGTTCCATAAAGGTACTGAAGTCATAAAATACAGAATCTTCCCTTTCTCAAGGTAGTCCTGCCACCCCAGTGCTATTAGCGCCTACACAAAAGGCCAAAATCCCTAAAAGACACCCTTGCAGAATTCCTTCCTTATGCCTAAAAGGACTGTAGGTTTTAAAAAGCACTCCCATGAAGTGGGGCTGACCCAAGGGCCCGAGGACCGTGCTTTGTGCCTGGTGGTGATGGTTCTGGGGCCCCAGGGAGCTTACCCCGCCTCCCGGGGTCTCACTGCTCCCCCTGGAAAGTGCCAGTAGCCCCCAGCCCCCTTTCTGTCTGAATGTTACCATGAGAAGACACACGTCACGCGGGGTCTGAGCTGGATGAGAGGAGACAGCTACATCCCAAGCGCTCTGTTGAGAATGAAGCCACATGCCTCAGGAGGCTAAGCTGAGCACACTTTGAACCGGAAGATCATTTCCTGAAATACCTTAACAGTCACCTGGCTGGTTCTTGATGGCCAAAGTCAACCCCAAGCACCGAGGCAAATTTAACTTCAGTCTCTTACAGAACCACAATCTGTTCTAAGCAGAGTCACAAGAAGCCTCCTAAAGAGTCAAGAACTGCTCCGGCCGAGCCCTTCCCCCCGGCAGCCGCGCCTGCCCCAGCCCGGGACCTCCACCCAGGCTCCGGCACCTGGGGGTGCAAGCAGAGCTGGTGGTACAAGCAGCCCGCCCTGTGCACGCTCAGCCCCGAAGGGCTGTCACCAGCACCGTGTGCTCACCCCGTCCCCCTGTAGCACGCATGCGGGTCACGAGAATCGCATTTGATTAGCGTGAAGGAAGTTTATCAATCATGGCACACTTTGTTTTCCTAGGATTTTTTTTTAATCTGAAGTTTTGAAATTATTTCAGACCTGCAAAACACGTGCAGAAATAATACAGATCATTCCCATGTGCCCTCACTAGGTTCCCACTGCTAGCACCTTATGTAACCACAGGTGACCGCGGCCAGGAACCGGCATCAGTATAAGCCATGTACTCGGGTGCAGACCTTGTCCTAGCTCATCCATGTCCGCAGTGACCTTTCCCTGGAGCAAGACCACCCCTGAGCACTCAGTCGTCATATCTCCCACATCTCGACTAATGGGACAGCTCGGTGGCCTTGAGAGGTCTTCAAAAGAGAACTGGCAGGTGTGGCTTGGTTTTCATAGACTGTCTCTTGCTTGGGTTTGTCTGACATTCCTGTGATGGGTTCTGGTTGTGCATCTTGGACAGGAACGTCCCAGAAGGAGGCACGTGACCCCGGTTGATCTCCTTTCTAGGGAGGTGAGCTTCGGTCACGCGGCTCAGGGGGTGTCCGCCAGGTGATTCTTCTTGGTAACGAGCAGTGTCTTGGGGGAGAGATTTGGTACTGTTCACGTCTCTTTGTTGTTGTGCTTTATCATGATGTCAGCAGGTGACAAATAACCTGCAGGTTTTGTGCCCGAGGAAGGCCCATCCTACTAGCCTGACCATGCCACTTGGTGGTAGCCTCGTGAGGGCCAGCACTGCAGGGTCAGTGCACTGTCCCTGGATGGTCTGGCCCCATGGGGCCACCAGAAGCCATGGAGGAGGCTTGGAGGCCTGAGAACCAGGGCCTGGTGAGCAGCGTCACTTTATAACCAGGAACGAAAAGCGGATTCTGTCTCTGCCTAAATCTTGATGCTGCATTGGGCCGTCTCCCACTGCACAGATAACCTGCAGGAAATCGTCAAGACTCACTTCTTCGCTCCCCGAACCTGGGTACCTCCCAGGCAGGCTTCCTCCACCTCAGACACCCCAGACGGTACAAGGATGCCCAAAACACAGACTCCACGGTGGATCTGGGCGAAACCGTGAGGACGGTGCCTAACACAGTGCAAAAACCATTCGGCCCTCGTGGCACGAGGTTCTGAGGCCCAGGGAGCAGCCCACAGGCCCTGCCAGAAAGGCAGATGAAGCATCCAGAGAGCAGAGAATTTGCCTCATGTAGCTTCCCTGCAGGAATTGACCCTCTTCCTTCAGGTGGGGGTTCAAAAGCTGTCTGGAAGTGTGTATGTAAATGCAATTCCTAGAATTTCAAGGTATAAAGAAATAAGCACATCAAAGCCACCAGTCTGTCTTAATTTGATGGCTTTGCCCAACATTACTCCATGAAATGGAACGTCCCCTGAAGTTCAGTTTAACAAAAGGAAAATTTCTGTGGGAAAAAATAGTGTCATATAATCTGAATACTCTTCCACAGAAGCCAAGAGAAGGTCGCCTGTGGGCTGTTCAAACCCACGTAGTCAGATTGTGCCATATGAGCTGAAGACACAAAACAGACCGGGGACGGAGCCCCCCGACCCCCAGCGCACAGCCTGACCACACAACTCCATCTTTACGTTCAAAGAAGCCCCCAATAGCTGATTTTCCACCTGGAAACAAACCCTCGGTCAAACGAAGCACAGACACCTGCCGTGCATCTGCCTGAGGAGAGGAAGGGAAGCCACGGCCCCTGGCCAGGGAGCTGGCACCGGCCGCGGGGACGAGCCTGAGAAGCGAGCGGCAGCACAGGGTTACGGCCCGGGACACCCGAGCAGAAGGAGATGTCACCCAACCCCCATCACCGCACGTGTGTCAGTAGCACGACAGAATGCTCGTTCCTAGGAAGGGAGATGAAATCGCAGGATGTAGGGAAAACAACACACTTCACAAGGTGAGCGATGTCTCGTCCTCTACGCATGTCGTGGAACAGACTCTCCCCTCTGTCCCCTTCATCTCGTGAAGGTGCCTCCTTAACCAAAGGCCTGAACGCTCTCCGTAACGACACTTTCTCTTCGACGCTCGCTTCAAAAGCCGACTGACCCGTGTGTCCCCAGGAAGCAGTGATGTTGGTTGGCCCCAGGCGGGTGCGCACGGTGTTTACATGTGGTACCGTGCCTCCTGCCCCTCCCCTGCTCGTCTCTGCGTTTGGGTTTCACCCTATCCTTGTTCTGTTCCGCAAGCCCGGCTCCCTACCTTGCTCAGGGTCCGGCGCGACAAGGACTGATTGAATTAAGTGTAATCCAGTTCACAGCCCCAGGCCTCCCGACCCACGTCCTGCTCCATCAGAACCCTCTCAGTACCTTGAGATTGTTCCCCTCAGTCTCTGTGTCTCTATTTCCCCGTTCACACGCATGCATGCATGCACACACATGCATGCGTGCATGCCTATGTGTGCGCACAAGTATAAACGTACACATGTACGCGCATGCGTGCATGCATACCTATGGTTGTGCACGCGTATAAATGTACACGTGCGCACGCACGCGTGCATACCTATGTGTGCACGCGTGCGTACCTGTGTGTGCGCACAGGTATAAACGTACACGTGCGCGCATACATGTGTGCATACCTATGTGTGCGCACACGTATAAACGTACACATGTGTGCGTGCGTGCGTACCTGTGTGTGCACACACGTATAAACGTACACACACGCGCGCATACATGTGTGCATACCTACGTGCACACGTATAAACGTACACATGTGCACGCATGCATACCTATGAGTGTGCGCACGCGTGCGTGCATACCTGTGTGTGCGCACACATATAAACGTACACGTGTGCGTGTACATACCTGTGTGCACACACGTATAAACGTACACATGTACACATGCGCACTCACGTGTACACGTGTACAATCATGCATACACATGCACACTCGCATGTACACTGTACACTCATGCACACACATGCACACACATACATGCGCACTCGCGTGTACACTCATGCACACGTGTACATGTACACGCGTGCACTCATGCACACGCATGGACACATGCGCGCTCACATGTACACGTGTGCACTCATGCACACACATACATGGGTGCACACACATACACACATGCATGCACCCCGTCCCTCACCTGCTCTGGTATCAGATGTCAAGGATGGAGCCAGGGCTGATCTCTGTGAGGAACAGCTGAGCCAAAGGCACAGAGAGCACTCTGCCCTGCCCCCACCGTGAGGGAGACGTGGGGAAGTGCTGACCTGGGGGGGTCGTTGGTGCTCCATGGAGGGTAACAGCTCCTGGGACAGCCATTCACTATGACTCCCTTTGAATTCGGGAACGAAAGTACCATGGTAATGTTGTGTGGGTCCACCCAGTCCTTTGTGCGAGCCACAAGGATTGCAAACACGAATCTGAGTGTGACTATAAATGCAAACACACGCACACGCAGCCCCAAACACCTCCACTGACCCTCACAGCTGCCACAGCAAAAGCGAGTCAGGTGCCGTGTCTGCCCAGCTTGTTTGTGGGGCTCCCCGGACTTCTGAGGGGTTGACTCGGGCCTGTCAGTGGAGGTGGTGCCACTGAAACTGGGTGCGCACCCGGCCTCCACCCACGGCGGGAGACCAGAGCGCGTCGGCGCTGCCACTCGGGGCTACTTCTCGGGGAAGGAGCAGGGCGGCTGACAAGCCCTATCTCATTGCCGACCAGCCCCGAGGGGCACGGCACGCCTCTGCCAAGGGTCCCTCGTCCCAGGAGGCCCCGGTCTCCTGCCCGCTGGTGCTCCGAGAGCCTCCCGTGGCAGGGCCCAGCGCTTCCTGCAGGCCCTCCGGCTCCCAGGGCCACAGAGCACACTGTGACCATCTAAGCCACACCTCCTGTCGACGTGTCACGTGTACTATGAGCACAGGGTGTCTGGATGAGGCTAATCGAGGCACAGGTGCACGTCTCTTCTGCTCTCCTCACTGGACCCTGTTGGCCCCCCTACCAGATACTCATGATGGCTACGGAGGATTCCAAATGTGTGAACTTGCCCACTTCCCTGTCAGCGCTATGTCTTGCGATGGATTGTCAGCGTGTCAAAAGCTGTAAGCAGCCACGTGACACATGACATGAAGTTCCAAAGAGTCTCCTTTCATTTTTTCACATTTCAAGTCATCATGAAACCTTGGTCTCCCCACTGGCAAGCCAGCCTTTGGGGAAGAAATGGTCTGGAGTGGCTGTTCATGCGTCATAAACCTGGATCCTCCCAACGACACCTCCCCTTGAACAAGCTGTTAGCCGGAGAGCTGGTGACAGGAGACAGCTTCCTGTCACTGGTGACAGCCAAAGGCCCCTCCTCCGGGGCCTTCGAGCGTGAGGAGGGGTGCCGGGCACACGGGGCCTGCCTCCTGAGGCTCCAGCCTCAGGCCGCTGCTGGGCACAGTGGTAAAATCGACTGGGTATGCCTTTGACGGCAGTTTCCAGAATGTGCATCAGGAGGCTGTGTCCACTAGCAAAGACACCGTGTTGGTCCACGCAGGTCATTCCTTCAAGGCCAATACAAAGAGAACCACCAAGGGACGGTCTTTGACCCCAAAGTGAGGGTTAAATTATCCCGCCTTTCTGTTGTTTCTGCTCCTTACTGGGCATTCAAAGTGGATTTTAACCATCATTTTTGGATTTGAAGCTGCCCTGCCACAGATTATCAAGCATTGAAGCCATCCAAAGGGCTTTCTCAGTAGGTGATAGTGTGCATCAGTTATTATTATTCCGGTGACTTCTCTGGTATGATTGGGAGGGGCCCAACACCCACTTCAGAGTTTCTCTGCAGTGTCGGGGGCGTCGTGTGGCAAGTGACGTGTGCAGGGGACTGGCCTGTGACCTGCGTGGAGGGGTGGGCTTTGTTCCCGTCTGCTGAGCCCTCCCCTTCCAGAGAGGGGAACAGTCCTGACACCGCCATCATTTCCACCTCCTGGTCTTGGCAGGTTTTGCATGGGCCCCATCCAGCATGTGCCTATGAGTAGGAGCACACATGGGCACACTCGTCTAAGGCTGGACACGCTGTGGATGAGGCGGGGTTTCCCGGCAGGTGCAACAGGGAAGAGCCGGACGCTGGGGCGATGCCCATGACAGCAAGGACACAACCCCTCGGCCTTTCCGAGGGGAGGCCATGTGGCCGGCTCCGTGGCAGGTCTGCACGCAGCTCGTGTGGGGTCTGGAGCTCAGGGTGGCTGGTGTCTGCGTCGGCCCTGGCCCGCCCCGGGGGCTGCACACTCCGCCGTCCCCGTGCCGCCGCAGGCTCAGCAGCTCCTCCCAGTGATAAAAGATGGGCCTTTCCCACATGAGAAATTCTAATCACCATCAACATGGGGTCTCATCTTGCACACCACTGTCCTCTCTACAGAGATGTGTGACCTTTCTTCCTTTTCCTGAACCAGTTCCTTCTGCAAAATGACACAGCACAGCTAAAGGCCGGAGTCGAGAGGAACGCGGTCCCGCTCACCTCTTCACTTTCTCGTCCCTCCAGGAGCAGTTCGAGTTTGCGCTGACGGCCGTGGCGGAGGAGGTGAACGCCATCCTCAGGGCCCTCCCGCAGTGAGCGCGAGCACGCAGCCCGAGGCTGGGAGGGGCTGGCACCGTGACTGTCGACTGTGGCTGGGAATCGCGATGCCACTTAGTTGTGTGTCTTCAGCGTCCCTGCCTCGTCAGTGCGGCCCAGCGGTTACAATGCGCATTTGTGTTCAACCAAATCATAGTAAGGGGAGATCTGGGGGATCGTCCAATCACAAGGACAGTCATTTTATCTGTTTTCACTTCCTTGAAAGGAAAACACTTTTCCTTAAAGCACACATTCACATTCTTAATTGCAAACAATGCCCTACTAACGATGCTGTAGGTTGTGCGCTCCACACCATCTCCACAGAGAGAGCCGGCCTGTGGGCTGTAACTCTGAAGGATGGGCCAGCTCTGCAGGGAGGGGACCCGGAGAAGCTGGAAGGGCACCACCAGACATTTGGCATTTGTCTTTACGACAGCTTATCACCGGCAGGAACCCCTCCCCGGCTTGTTCAGGAGTTAGAGCAACAAAGTGTTACCATCCTGCAGCTTTGGGGGAAATAAGAACAGCATTGTCCCTGCATCTTCCCTCTGTTCCCGTGCAGGCTGCCCAACACCTGCGCCCGGTGCTGTTGACAGCCCATCTCCACTGTCCACCCCCCAAAGAAGGGCAGGGGCCTCGGGCCACACGCGTCCCAGGCCAGCCGCCCCAGGCAAGGCCTCACATCTGCAACCAGTCTGGAGACACATTTTTAACTTTAAATACAGATTTACACATTGCAAAAGCAGATGCTGTTAATAAACTCTTCCCTTGGGGGTAACCAGATCCGGGGAACCGACCTGGCAGGTAACAAGCTCCGGGGTCCCCGAGGAGCGCCCTAGCCCCCAGCAGGCTCCTGTGCTCCCCTCTTGGGGGGGATGTCCTGGGCCCTGCCAGCATCCAGGGGAGACCCTGGGTACCCCGTTCTCAGAAGGGGATGCAGGGTGACGTACATTGTTGGCTTTACTGGGTGAGATCCTGGCACCAGGGAGAAAGGTGGAAACGGCAGCATTTCCTGGGCCCTGCCCCCACCCCGGGGTCACCTAGGTCAGACACCTGTGTAACTCGCCTGATCAGACACAAGCGTCTAGAGGCGATTCGGATTTGCCACCCTCCCCCCCGCCCTGACAGAGGAACTCATTTCGCTGGACTCAGAACGGTGGGCTCTAAGGAGGCAGACAGCTCTGTGCGCTACAGCTTTTCTTCTTAGGATTAGGTGTGAATACATCCCCGGTACCTTCCACGTCCCGCTTACCGCACACGTTCTTCCCGCCCTAAGTAGACACTGCAACCCAAAAACCAGTAGCATTGGGAGAGCGGCCTGTGACTGGGGAGGAAGATGCCAAATACTGTTTGTGTCTTTAAGTGGTCCTGTCATGTCATCTGCTCTAATAGATCTACAATTTTCTGCCAGAGTTGTTTCTCGCTATCTGGAATCTAAATAATGAATAGCAACTAATTTATCTGAATATAGGAAGCATATACCTACTTGTAATTTCTAACCTTATGTTTTGAAAGAAATCCTCCAGTGTGAGATATATAAATATATTTAATTGTGTCAGATTAAACTTTTGATTTCACATTCAAATGGTCTTTAATTTGGGGCGGATAGGGCAACTTTCCCTGCCCGTCCTTTGCTCCCGGAGGTGGGGGAGCAGATGGGAGCCTCTCCGAGAATTCCGCCTTTGCAGGGTTAGCTGTGCACGAAGGGCCAGAGCGTCCCAGAGCTTTCCTTCCTCAAAGACTGATTGCAGGATCTCCGGAAGCAGCCGGGGCTGTGTTCTGTGCAGAGTGTCCCCCCCAGCCTGTCATGCCCATCTGTGCGGTGTGAGCACAGGGCTAGCGGCGGAAGACCCTTCCTTCCCGGGCCTCAGGCTCCACCCCCCACAGCCAAACACCCATCCTGGCACATCAAGGCGGCTGCACAGGGACAGGCTTGTCCTATACCACCTCAGTGACCCCAGTGACTCAGGGCTGCGTGTGGAGTCAGCTTGTCATGGGAGTAGGTAACCACGCACAGGGCCCGTCAGCTTGAGGGGCTCAGTGTCCACCCAAGTGCTGGTGTGCGTTTCTCGAGAGATCAGCCCCCAGGTCTCGCTGGGTGGACACCCAGTTACATCTGTCTCTCAGACACCCCTTTCCAGAGTCGACCTCACGTTCAAATCCTGCCTGGGCATCCGTGGACTGCGCGTCCCACTGCTGTGAGTTACTGCCATTGGGGGTCCCTGAGCTATCACAGGTACACGCACGGGGCGGCTTCTCATGATAAGCACATGTCAGAACATGCACACGGCAGACCCCAAGCCATGAAAAGGTTCCCCTCCCACCATGAGTATTTAGGAATGCTGGACAACATGTACTGGAAACATACGGTGCATACCAGCTCTAACGAAAGGGCAAAGAGGGAGCCCATAGTCAGTGTGGGTGAGTGTGGACACTGAGCCACACAAGGGCTGGGGGCCGGTTCTGAGCAGCCTGCTCTGACCCAGCACAGGGGGCCCCGGGAAGTGGTGTGCTGGAAATGTCCAGAGCCGGCTCTCTCTGCAACCGTGGACACGCAGAAATGCGCGGAGATGTGCACTCCGCCAGCACACGGTAGTGACGTAGCCAGCCCTCTTCATCGTCGGGGCCACGGAGCCAACAGCTTCCCACAGAATGCTCACCACAGCCTTCCACACCACCCACTTTCCACTTCAATCAGCATCAGTCACGTCTCCATCACTCACCTGCTGATTCCCGGGATGCATATACCCCCACAAGGAGTGACTTCAACAAGGGAAGGGCGGTGAGTGCCTGGGAAGGGACTGGGAAGAACGCAGCTGCTGGGGATGGGGGTGCAAAGGGAGTAAAGGAACTAGGAAGTGGCCACCTGTGTGTTAACGGAAGTTCTCGGTTCATCCAGGGTAGTTTCTAATAGCAGCTGATTTTAGCAACCAGTCCATAAAATCCCTGCCTGCTGGTACCAGCGGTTGTGGTGCATCCCTGCCCAGAGCCCAGCAACGATGGGAGGGGTCTGGAGACGGGCCGGCCCAGCTGTCCTGCTGGGAAAGAAAGGTGCCAGGATGGGCGCCTGGGTGGCTCAGATGGTTAAGCGTCTGCCTTCGGCTCAGGTCATGATTCCAGGGTGCTGGGATTGAGTCCCGCATCAGGCTCCCTGCTCCTTGGGAGCCTGCTTCTCCCTCTGCCTCTCTCTCTCTCTTTCTGTCTCTCATGAATAAATAAATAAAATCTTTAAAAAAAAAAAAAAAAGAAAAAGAAAGGTGCCAGGAGGGCGCCTGGGTGGCTCAGATGGTTAGGCGTCTGCCTTCGGCTCAGGTCATGATCCCGGGGTCCTGGGATCGAGTCCCACATCGGGCTCCCTGCTCCACGGGAAGCCTGCTTCTCCCTCTCTCTCTCTCTCTCCCTCTGTCTCTCATGAATAAATAAATAAAATCTTTAAAAAAAAAAAAAAAGAAAGGTGCCAGGAGACAGGGGCGCAGGGGCCAGTCCGCCCTACCCACACCGCAGAGGAAACCCAAACCTGTGAGCCCAGCGGAGCCCTCGGGTGCCGAGCATCAGCGGAGGCAAAACCACTCGGGTGGAGCACCGAAGTCCCCAGAAGGTTGCGCCCCAGAGGACTGGGTTAGCTCCCCATAAACAACCACAAAGCACAGGGAGAAGAGGACCACAGCAGGGCCGAGACGTCTGATACGGGGAGAAATACAGACAACACAACAATACAAAAAGGCAATAAAATGAGTTTGAACATTCCAAACGGCATATAAAAAGAACAGTGTGGGTGAAAGGAAGCAGATTTGAAAAAGAACCCAAAGCAACTTTTTTTTAAAGATTTATTATTTATTATTTATTTGAGTGGGGGGTGGGGGCAGAGGGGGAGGGAGAGAACCTCAAACAGACTCCCCGCAGAGTGCAGAGCCCCTTGCGGGACTCGATCTCACGACCCTGACATCAGGACCTGAGCAGAAACCAAGAGTGGAACGCTGAACTGACTGAGCCCCCCAGGGGCCCCCAACACAGCTTCTGGAAGTGAAATCCAAAGGGAACGATTATTTAGAAACTGGGGAAGGCATGTGCACGTGGGATAAGCTGAGGTAAGAACTCCAGTTCAGCAGCAGGCTGGGAACCGCTGAGGCACCAGCCGTAACCCGACAACCGGGCTGAAGACCCCTGCAGACGTTCTGAGACGGGATGGAGCCAGCATTCTGGAAGGAAACAGAACCGGTGCAAGACCCCCTGCAGAGCCTTCGCCCCACAGCACAGGGGCGCTCGTGTGGGGCCAGCGCTCCCCCGCACCGTGCGGCCCTGCAGAACCTGCTGGGACCCCGGGTCCCAGCCCCCGTGGCCGCGGACACCTGCTGGAAGTCCTTGTTACCACCATGGCCCTTCCTCCCGGACTGACCTGGGATGTGCATCTCCCAGTCACCAGGAGGGCTTTGTCCCCCTGACAACACCCAGCATGTAGTGGGGCACCAAGCATGTACTCTGACAGAGGGGCTGTAGCCCCTGGTCCTGAGGGGCTTCAAGATCACCTGGAAGACCGGGGCAGTTGGGGGGCTAAAGAGAAAAATACGTGCACCCCCCCCCGGACCCTCACCAGGTGGCAGCGAGCTCAGCGGGGAAGCAAGCAGGGCATGGTGAGGGCTCAGTCACCCACCTTACGGGAGGCTCTGAACTCACCCCCACCCGCCCTCCCCCATCGCCTCCAGAGACTGAGTCTGGGGTGGTTCTAACCCCCTTCCAACACCGTGGGCTTCACCAGCAAGCGATTTGGGGATGCATTTTTATGAAATTGTTGCTTGAGACTCTTTTTTTTTTTTCAATAAAAACCGTTAGATGTAATCTTACAGGAAGTAAGCGGAAGCGCTGTGCACGGCAATTCTATAACCTGGGTGATTCAAGATCACACAGTACTTCTCTTCACAGCGAGAGCCCAAATCTGTGTTCAGAGTATTGGAACTGGGGTCACCGCAAATCCTTGGAAATACGCACGCATGTGCTCATAC